GTCGTGGTCAAGCGAGGCATTGTGTATACGCTAAACCTTCCAAGAAGAATGCGCACCACCTGGTGTTTTATGTGGGCTTGCTTAAGCCGTACCAGGATCTGGAGCAAGTGAACGTGGAAGCGTTGGCGTAGGGGCGGTGCCCTAAGGCGTTTCGCCACCCAGAAGCTAACCAGCAATCAGATTTGAGCACGGAGTGCAGTGATCTCCCTTTCGACGGCGCCAGGCGCCCCACCGCCGTGCGAAGTGACGTTTTCGTCTGCCGACGGCTAGGAGCCACCTCTATAGAGAGCTAGGAGCCACCCCTATAGATCACGATAGTCTTCAATGTAAGGCAGTCGGTGCACGAAGTGCTCCAAGCTCTCTAGGCCTTCCGCACTGCGGTATGCGACCTCGGCGAGATTCTCGGCGGGGTGCCGATTACGGCGATCGAACAAGTCATCATCGCCCTGTCGACTCCTCTCAGTGAGAGTGGTGGCTTCTATTATCACGTGGAACGCCTTGTGGGGCGACGCCGTCGACGGGGTCAAACCCAATATCGTGTGAAGTGGCGGAGATACCCGAATTCCGAAAGCTCGTGGGAGTTTGGGGTGCCACTTCGGCAAGACGACCCAGAACGTTGTGGACGCTTATAATTAGAAGAATCATGACGCTTCGCGTCGTCGTGTGCCCGCTCTTTTTGGTAGCAGCCTGAGAAGCCGGAGAGCCATGAGCTGAGCTCAAGCTATGGCCTTGAGCTGCTGTGGTCGTACACTCGCCCGTGTGAATACCACATGAACTCGCACGAGCGTGATGGAATAATCCATATATTGCAGGGCGACTATACGCAGAAAATCGGCGTTTTGCCTTGAGTTTAACAAACTCGGATTGAAAATGGCGTTGTACGCGCACGACCACTTCCTTGTGACCCCACTGTAAGTTAGACAACGAGGAAAGTTTCCGGTGCCGCTGCACCGATCGCTTAAAGAGCTCTTTATCATCTGCAGCGGTTTTGCCAGGGGTGAGCTCCTCAGAAATAGTCCGTATTGCAGGTAGAGAAGCGCCTTCTCTCTAAGCGCGAAGTCGAGCGCGGCACTTATCCATTAGCATTTCTTGAAGTACCAAGAAGCGAGCTCGGAGAGCTTTTTGCTGGTCAAGCTCAGCTTGTGTAGTGACCGGTGGTTCGACTACGTAGACGCCTAACGATCGAGTGATCGCGGTTTTGCTTCAGTCGGGGGATTCGCCGAGCGGAAGTCGTATTTTACACGAGGATCTAAGACCGAACGAGGGTACAAGCACAGGTAAGCCGGCCTGTGAGCTGCTGCTCCTGTGCCTCGTCGAGGTGATTGGTAATTAATACCACTTCGGGAGTTTAGAGATCAGGAAACGAACACGGTATCCTCAAGGTTCGGGCAGGGCTCAAGTCGCGCTGTTGACGCAGTAACTTGGGTTGCAAAACACTAGTTACAGGCAGAATACGATACATCGCATATGGCATCTCGCCCTCCTCTTCTTCCCATCCTGGGGAAACAGTATCCGGCTCATAGTCGACTTCCTCCGAATCCTCGACATTCAATGAGGGGGCTGACATCAGCTAGCCGTTCGGCTATTCCTCCCCCACTAAGCCCTGAGCCATGGGATGGCGGCGTCAGCGGGACGCGAGGATTAACAAGCTTGTTCCCGCAGAACGGGGTGTAGCCGGTAGACGCATGCACTGCATTGTTTTGAGCAAGCTCTACAAGTATCAGCATGGCACTCCAGCGCTTTGGCTTCCCAGCGCAGACGCTGCGAAGGACGTCTTCAACGACGCGTTTCACGCGATCAGTTTGACTATCGGTTTGCGGGTGGCTTGCTGTTGACATAATCAACTTGGTGCCCAGCACCCTGAAGATTGCCGACCAAAACTTATCAGTATAGCATGGGTTTCTGTCAGAGACAATTAACTCCGGGATTCCATGTTGTCAAAAGACACGATCCGCACACCATCGATGGTGTCCGGCACTACCGCAAGATGAGCCATCTTGCTCAAACGGTCGACGAAGACCACGACACCCGTACTGCCTGCCTAGTCCTTCGGCAAGTCAGTCACAAAGTCCAAACTCATGGACTGCTAACACCCGGAGGGTACCTATAAACTGGCCAGCGGTGCCACCGCATTCGAAGATGCATCACTTCTCACACGTGCGCACATGAGTTCTCGTCTATTTGTACAGCTTGGGCCACCAGTAGTGGCATCACACAGAGTTGTATGTTTTTCCACGTCCGAGATGACCACATAGTGTGGTCTCGTGGGCCTCATTGAGGATACGGTATTTCAAGTTCTCATCGGAAGGAACCATAATTTGTGGCATATCCACAAATTGTAGAATCTATAATACAGCAAACCGTTATTCAACGCATATCAGGGTAATCGTGTGCGCAATCGTGCCGAGAGTTTCTCGTCCGAGCTTCCAAACTCCTTGCTCTTGAGAGTCTGTAGCAGCGCTACACATATACCATCACGCGCGTATGCGGCGCGGACCAAATCCGTCACTGACGACGTCACCGTCATGACATGAGCAAGCTTATAATTTGGTCTGCGTGACAACGCATCAGTCAGAGTATTCTGCTTTCCGGCTTATACTTCACCTCGAATTTATATTTTGCGAAGAAGGAGAGCCACGTGGCCATCCTCTGCGAGATGTGAGGCGACTGAGTTGCAGGCGTAATGACGCCTGATCTGTGTAGATCACAAACGGCTTTGAGCCAGGCAGATGCGCCCAAATCATAACAAGTGCATATTTCATCGCATATAGTTCCTTCTCGTGTACTGGGTAGTCCCTCTCCGCAGCCTGAAGCTAGCGATATTTGAGCGCGATCACCCGATCTCGCCCCTTTGCGCACTGTTTGTAGCAGTGCACAGCGGTTGGCAAAGTCCGAAGCGTTAACGACGACTCTTAAAAGACGATCGGGGACTGGCAACGCCAATATTGGTGCACGAAAGAGGCTTTCTGCGACCCTGTCAAAAGCCTCCCATTACTCGGTTTTCCAACACCATTCCTTATCCTCCATAAGGAGATTAGACTATGGCCGTTATATTTTTGCATAATTTGCGTTATACTTGTGCAAGTAGTTGGGGAGGCCAAGTCATTTGCGCAGATCCATTTGGTTCTTTGGAGCCGGTCAGTCAACAATAAATGGCCTTGACCTTATCGGGATTCCCTCGAAGGCCACGCTTCCCAATGAAGCACCCAATAAATTCTTCCGCGCCGAAGATGCACTTTTCTGCGTTAGCATGCACTTTATTTTTGTGCATGCACTCGAGCGCCGCTTTCAAATGGACGACGCGTTTTCTCGTCTGTTCCCCCGCTCATGACAGTCAACGGCGATGTCGTTGAAGTCTGTTTGTACATACGCCCGGTGGGGCCTGCATCACAAGACGATTAATTGTTGCTGGTGCATTTGACAACCCTTGCACTTCCAGAGCATCCCGCTCGAAGTACTCACCGCTGTAAGCGGAATATCACTCGCTCTCATGAGCAATTGGCAATACCTATCGACCAAGTCGAATGCACTGTGCTTTGTACATCAAACCATATTGTTCTAAAGAACTTTCTTTCTAGTAATCGGCGTCTGTGCCGGAATGGTGGCAGCTTTTTTGAGCTTATTGTAAGCGTGAGCGATGCGCCACTTGCCGTTCGGCTTCCGGACACAAAACATGGGTGTCGAATGAGGAGACTTGCTCTCACGCACCATTCCAGCATTGTGCTTCGTATGGGAAAAGGCGTCAATGACGTCACACTACTTCTTGGGCAGGGGCCATTGCCGTGCTATGCAGTTTTTGGTTACCGGAACCAGGTCAATCTCATGACGCACACCTCGGTCCAAAGGTAGGACCGACTGCGGATCTTTGAAGACGACGTCTAGTAATTTCTTTTCTAAAAGATAATACGGTTCCGAGGGGTTCTTCTGGATCGATGATCCACTTCGTGCGTGCAGCACCCTCTTGGTGACCTCCAAGGCAGCTCCATCCAGAAGCGACGACAAGTACACCTCCCCGTTTGGTCGTATAATGACCACCCTGGCTAAATTGCCTGCCTTCAAGACACCATCAAACCCTTCAAAGGACAGCTCTGAGGG